TGATGTTGAGCTTCAGTCCATATAGGAGGCTGTAGTCCTTGATCTTCTGCAGCAAGCGCTTCAGGTCCTCCTCAGTTTCAGCAAGCAGAGTTGTGTCATCTGCATAACGCAGGCTGTTGATGATTCTTCCACCAATCCTGATGCCACATTCCTCTCCGTATAGCCCAGCGTCTCAGATGATCTGTTCTGCATACAGATTGAAAAGGTATGGAGACAGAATACATCCCTGACAAACCCCCTTCTTGATTTTGAACCATGTAGTGTCTCCTTGCTCTGTTCTGACAACTGCCTCTTGGTCCAAGTATAAGTTTCACATTAGCACAATCAAATGTTCTGGGATTCCCATTCTTCTCAGCACACACACACCCATATAGATACCATATATACACCATATATATACCACACACATATATATACCATATATACACCATATATGTGTTGTTGTTAAGTGCTGTAGAGTCACAGGAGACTCATAGCGACCCTATGAAGGAGAGTCCTCAATGCTATATATATGTGTGTGTGTGTATGTATATTTTATATATATATACACACACACACACCTTCTTTATATATATACACTATATATATATAAACACCATATACATACACACACACCATATATACATATACCATATATACACACACATATACCATATATATATACACATACCATATATATACATATACCACATATACACACACACACACATATCATATATATATACATATACCATATATATATACACACATACCATATATATACACACACCGTATATATAGATATATATACATACCGTATATACATTTTTATATATGTTGTTGTTATGTGCCATCAAGTTGTTTGCGACTCATAGCAACCCTATGTTCAAGAGCCCTAAATGCCGTTCTATCCTGTGCCAACTTCGCTGTCTCAGACACATTCATTCCCACCACTCCCACTCACAGAATCGATCCATCTCATCGAGGGTCTTCCTCTCCTGCACTGTTCCTCCACTCTCCCAAACATGATGTCCCTCCTTGCAACATGCCCAAAGTATGTCAGACGAAGCTTCAGAATCCTTGACTCAGGGAACATTCTGGCTTCACCCTCTCCAGGACAAACCTTTTTGTTCTCCTAGCAGTGCATGGTATATTCAACACTATTCTCCAGCACCACAGCTCAAAGGCATCAGTTCTCTTTCTATCATCCCTATTCACTGTCCAACTCTCTGATGCATAGCACATAATTGCAAGGACTATAGCCTGGATCAGGCCCACCTTAGTCTCCAACCTGACGTCGTTGCACTTCAGTACTCTTGAGCGGTCCCTCACAGCTGACTTTCCCAATGCAATTTGTCTCCTGATTTCCTGGCTGCTGTTACCAAGAGTGTTGACTGTGGAGCCAAGCAAACTAAAACTGTTAACTATCTCAATCTCTTCACCATCCATACTGATGCTGCCAATTGGCCCAGTGGTGAGAATCTTTGTTTTCTTGATATTGAGCTTCAATCCATATTGAAGGCTGCAGTCCTTGACCTTCTGCAGCAAGCACTTCAGGTCCTCCTCAGTTTCAGCAAGCAGGGTTGTGTCATCTGCATAACGCAGGTTGTTGACAATTCTTCCACCAATCCTGATGCCACATTCCTCCTCGTACAGCCCAGTGTCTCAGATGATCTGTTCTGCGTACAGATAGAAAAGGTATGGAGACAAAATACATCTCTGACAGACCCCTTTCTTGATTTTGAACCATCCAGTGTCTCCCTGCTCTGTTCTGACGACTGCCTCTTTGTCCAAGTATAGGTTTCACCCTAGCACGATCAAGTGTCCTGGGATTCCCATTCTTCTCAGAGTCAGCCCATAGCTTGTTGTGATCCACATAGTCAAAAGGCTTTGCATAGTCAATGAAGCACAGATAGACATTGCTGGCTTCTGTGGCCAAGGACAGGTCCCCCATCTCTTTGGGCTTCCATTTCCCCTCAACAGTGGGGAGACAGGCTTGGGTGATGGCCCTGGCACCACATTGCCGGCCTCAATTCCTATGGTAGAAGTAGAGGAACTGGGAGTGTAAGCCTGTCCCAGGCTGCTGAGAATCACATCATCTGGTCAACTTAAAGTTCAGCCTCCAGGTTCCCAGAGGCCTTTGCTGCACACACCTCTGCCTTGGGGCTCATAGGAGTGTGAGAAACTCACCCAGCTTCCGGTAAGGCTCTGGACGAGCCTGTCCTCCTCACCTGAGTTTCCAAAGAGAATATCTCCCAGGTCAGTTCAGCCTGATTATCTTGGAGGACAATTCTTGACTTTGTTCTGTCATACTCAGCCATGACAAGGGATGGGACCTGACAA